ACCTTTACCATAAATTACACAGTGTTGGCTCTACCTGCAGCCACACAGCTGCAGTACAAGTTAGTAACCCCAAGGCACTGGCACTTAGATAGATAGACATCAGATCAGACTGATTGAAAGCACTGCTGCTCCAATCCTCACTAAAAAGGTGGATTGTATTACTCAGTAGATTGTATTACAGTTCTCAAATCTTTGCACTGCTGTGTAAAAGAATTGACTTCAAATGACTGCTGCTGTTTTACAAAGCACTGAACAGTGTATGGTCAAAATACTCCTCATACAAATATCTTGGTGTTTGTATTGACAACTCACTAACCTGGAACACACATGTAGATAGTCTCTGTAGCAGATTACAACAGAGGTTGCATTTTTTATGCTGTACACTGCGTTGACCAAAAATGTATGCTGATTTTTCATCAGGCATTCCTAGAGAGCCTAATCCGGTACGGTACCACAGCTTGGTTTAATAACCACTATGTGCAGATGAAAACCAAACTGTATCGGTTGATTCATATGGCATGGAAAATCTTGTGCATTAAAGAGCACATATCCCAGTAGACTATTTATCAACAGGCTACTCTAGGACAAGCCAATAAGATTGTTAATGACACATATTCTGCACACAGAGTATGAGCTGCTGCCCTCTGGCAGGAAGTTTCCCTCGAGTCCCTTGTGGAAGATGAATCTGTCTCAGTGTCTATAAAGCTTTATAGTGGCAGATAAACCAGAGCGACTGGAGGATGAGTCCTCATTTGTGTTTTTTGGTACATTTATTGTATTATAAATGTACTTTTTTTATTGGATTTCATTTATATATTTTTGATGATTTGTATGGTTTTATTTTATGATGCATGTGCACAGGTCTATTTTCATGGTTGCAGCATGGGTTAAGAGCCCAAGCCCTCTCTTTGGGAATATAAAGTTAATCTTTTCTGATCTATAATGCGATAAACCATCAAGACCCCATCAGGTCTTCAAGGAGGATTGGGGTTATTTAGTTTAGATAATTCATTTGACTTAGTATTAGTTTAGTATTCAGAGTTTTTGTATTTGGGTAATACCATTTGTGTTTTAAATTGTAGACCAACTGCATTGTTTGGTTTCTTTAGTCATGAGTTCATGTGATCTATTTTATCCACTTTCTGTTTAATCAGTCTGATCAGCCAGTGTATATGCCATTTGTTCTGTGTGTTAGGTCAGTTGTTTTGTTCTTGTTGTTTTTTCATACTACCATAAGATGAGTTCTGTGAAAGTCTTTTGTGGGCCCTGAAATTCATTGTTTGGTTTTCATGTTTGTGTACATAAAGCCCTTATGTTCAAAATACACCCAAATGTACTCATGCCTTTTAACTCACTCCCTCACAGACATGGATACAGAAATTTTGTTTATTCTAAATGTTATTTTTAGGACACACTAGATTCCTTTGTTTAATCTATCTCCTATAGTTTTATGTTGAAGTTACATAGGCATCTCTACTTCTTCGGCAACAGCACTTGTAAGAGTAATGGCAGCTAGACTGGAAATGACTCTCTCATAGTTTCATATTACTCGCTCCCTCCTACTGTAAGGTCATGTTTACACAGTTGGTTGCCAATGGCAGCAGTGCTGCAGGTGCATGAGCACAGCAACATACATTTAGCTTGGACTATAGAACTCCTGCACACTACAAGCTGTCATAGGTAGATGCTAGAGGCAAACAAATTAATAAAGACAAACCTCTGCACCTCAGAGTCTGCATCTAATTTCTAAATTTTTGATCAAAAACAGATATCACATCCTCTGAATTCTGAATTGCTTGCTTTAGACTAAACCTGGGCTTACAAATCAAACACTTTAGATCTTTAAGGAGTATCTGCCACAAATGATATCTTTCTTCACTGATATATTATTTAATCTATTACCATTAATGTTAGGTGCGCTGCCGGGGGGGCAGAGTATTAAGTTTACTACATCACTATTGACAAGTGTATTAATTGATGAAAAAGTAGCCATGTGCAGTAATATAGAGAATTGAGGAAGGGACACATCAAGATGCATCAAGATAATTGTTGTGAATTGAAATTAAATTGATCCATGAGGCTAGTGAAGACTCACACCTCTAACTTTTGTGGTGTTATTGTATTAATATGAAGCACTTTGCTCTTGAAATGCTCTATACTAAACTTGAATTACTTCTTGCAAAAAACATCTATTAATGCAAAACCTGTATAGATCTTTAGTTTACCTAATTCTTCAAGGAAAAAGTGTAACAATTTGATAATGTTCAGGGACACACAGCAAAGATAAGACCAAGACAAGATCACTTAATATTGGCCTTTGCCTCTGTGTCCCAGAAAGTCTTGGCTTAGGAAAGTTTGCATTCAAAACATCAAAGTCTTCACAAACTATATTGACACTCATCAAGTGTCTTACTTACATATTTCCACTTGATGAACATGAGATCCTCTGGTACCGCAGCTCCATCGTTGCATGGTATAACAATGGTCTCTCCATACAAAGCAGTCACTCTATCTGTACCCCACACTGCAAGACACAAGACATCAGATTATTGCAATTGTTAAAAATTGACTGTACTATTACAAGAGATCCACAGTTTTGACTGCTCTGCATACTATTGTGATGAGTTTAAATCAAATCATAGACGTTCCAGCAGAGCTGTCTTTCTGTCTCAAAAGATTGTCTCAAATCTGAAATCACTTGATCTGGAGCCTTTGATCAGTGGTGAGTGGCAGAAAGAATGGAGTAAAGCTTAGCATATGATCCCAGAGTTTTCAGACACCCTGAAGGTGACTGTGGTTAGATTGTGCATCTCCTCCTAACTATAAGTGTCTTAAAAATGATGGGTATGTACAAATTGAATAAAGGTACACCAAGCTATGTTGTCACTTCAAATTTTGCATTATCACATTTCAAACACGCCTCTCATTAAGTTTGATGGCAGAGGTGCAAGAGGTTGGGATTGGCAGGTTAAGGTCGGTGCTCCTCGTGCTCTGGATTGCCACCACAAAACAATTTCCTTTGACCATTCACGTGAGGGAGTACTAAGGTGGAGCAGTTGCTATGGCGGCACAGCCCAGACATGTGCAGCGTGGGAGAGGAAAGAAAAGGAGTGAAGAGAAGATGGATGGAGGTCCGTGCAGAGTGGAGGGACACTAAGGTCTTCACGCTTCAACTCTTTCTCTTTGAAGTATTCTCTAAACAGGCTGAACAAGAAGCGCATCAAATTCTGGTCATTCCAGAGCGATGAGAAAAGACAAAGCACAAATTCAGTGGCAGCTTATTCTCAAGCCAAGCCTCAGGCTTGAATTTATATGTTTCCTCGCCTCAGAGCAAGGTTTAGTGATAGCAAATCATTAACTAGTTATAGCAAGTATCCGTTTCTAATACAAGTTTATTCAAGGTATTCAAACAAACCACACACGACACGGCAGAATTGTAACGTTGATTATAATCAGGGTAAATTTACTACAAATTTTAATTCAATTAAATAAATCTGATAAATCTGATGCAGTCGTCACTCTATCTGGAGTCACCACTCTGGTCTTGTGCAATGCCCTGCAATGCCCTGCCCACAGTATTATCTGACTTACACACACCATGTGTAACTGCCTGTTAACACTAAAGGCTACTGTGTAAACAAACAGGTGCAATGGAACAGCGGCAGCTGTGGTGAGTGAGCTAAGTGTTCAAGGAAAGGATGTAGATATTGCCAAAGTTCCAACAAGTATCACAGTCATCTATGCTGAAACACACAAGTTCCACTGTTGATCCAAGACACACTGAGCAAGTTTATAACTGCTAAGGTAACCAGCAGATCTGAATAGTGTGTGATAGCAGTGAAAAAAGAGGCATCCAAGAGGCATCCAAGAGAGGATGCCTTATTTTATCAT